ACAAGGCAACTTCCACCTCCTGGGTCAGCCTGTATGGAGAACCACCAGGGCAAAGAGGAACAAGCCTTCCCATTGACCTCAGGCCTTTTGTCTCGTGCTGCACTTGTTGCTTGAGGGAAGAGGAAAGTTGGTAGGGAAGTGGGATTTATGGTTTGTCCTTCGTTCTGGAAGAGGACCATGACATCAGGAAGACGATGCCATGACTTGCAAGTGAATTGGATTTAAGTGAGGGAGGGCTGTGCAAAGTCACCAGCCTCACTTTCTCCTCTGGAGCCATCTAGGTCCAGTGGCCAGATGTATCTCAGGACAACTAGAGATGACCCAGCTATCATCCTCCGTTGCACTCTCTTGAGCTAATCTCCAGCCTTTGGAAGGAAGAGGATCAGTGAAATGGGCCCTCTTATCTAACCACATGACCATATACCTTCCATTTCATACCTCACTTATTTCCAGCCCAATCTCCAGCCATCTCTGTGAAAAAGAGTGGAGTCCTCTACTCTAAGATGAATGTCCACACTTGGTCATACCCTACACATCTCAATGATACTTAACCCTTCAGGTCATCAAATCAACTCCGTTCCCTATCTCCCCGCATCCAATTTTTTATTTTTATCTCCCTCAAATCTCTAACCCCAAAGTTATAATTAAATGCCACTAACTTCTTCCACTATGCCCTCCTACCTGTTCCATAGGTAACAACTTCCTTTTCTCCTAAATCTTTTCAGCTCCCACCATTTCCATCTTCTAGCTATCATTCAAACCTGGCTCCATGCTTATGACGTAGCCTCACTAGCCACTTTTTCCTGGACTAGCTACACATTCATTCATTCTCTTCAGCTCATTCACTGGTCAAGGCAAGGGAACTGGAATACTCCTTGCTCCCCACTGCCACTTCTATTGCCTACCTCTATCACTCAGTAACCTCTTCTCCTTTGAAATTCATGCTTTCTTCTCTACTACCCAATCAAAATCCTCATAGCTGTTGTCTGCAGAACCCCAGGTCACTCCTCTTCCTTCCTCAATGAGTTTGGCTGGTGGCTCACAGTTTTCTTCTCCTTCCCAATTTCTGCCCTCATAATGAGGGACTTCAATATACATACAGACTGTCCTTCAAGCAGCTTAACCAAATTGTTCCATGAGCAAGACACCCCATCACTCAGCTGTGGCCATTTTTACTGGCTGTCCCTCAGGCCTGGAATGTTCTCCCTCCTCATCTCAGCCTACTGGCTTCCTTTAAGTTCCAAATAAAATCCTGTCTTCAGGAGCCTTTCTCAATCTTCCTTATTTCTTGTGCTTTCCCTGTCTTAATTATTTCCTTTTTATCCTATAACTGGTTTGAACATATTTATTTATTGTCTCCTCCCCATTAGATTGTGAGTTCCTGGTGCACTAGGTGGTCTGCCTTTTTTTTTTTTTAATTCTTATGGCATAGCACTGTGCCTAGAACATAGTAGGTGCTTTATACATGTCTAATAAGTGGCAAACGTTATCTCATTTGATTCTCACAACAACCCTGGGAGAAAGGTGCTATTATTATCCTCATTCTGCAATTGAGGACACTGAGGCTGGCAGAAGTTAAGTGATTTGGTGGGGATTCCACAGTTAGTAAGTATCTGAGGCCACATTTGAATTAAGGTCTTGCTGACTCCAGGCCCAACACTCTATCCACTGCTTGATCCAGCTGCTTCTCTCGTAACCTGAAAGGAGTAACTCTAACAAAAGACATTAACACACATGTTCAGTTAATGGGCTTTTAATCTTTAGACCCTTGTACACAACTAAAAATAAAAAGATATAGCAAACATGAAAATTTGGCACATATTATGCTTTTTCCTTTAAAGGAAATGACTAACTTTGGAAGATAATTGGTGATTCCACTCCTCTAACCCTTTGAGTTCAGGGTTTCTCCTCATTTCCATCATCTAATTCACATACTTGAGCAATCCTTTTGGGTCAGAGTAGAAATTTCATTGGTTCTCCCACAGTGTCAGCCTATCTAAAGAACTGTCCTCTCTTGGAGTGTACCAAGTACTAGTATGTCAAGGGCTTCCATGGCAGTACGTATGATTCTGAGACAGATAGTCAAGAAGCAATAATGAAGAATTTTTGTTTATGCAAACATGGTCTCTAGAGGTATTCCCCATTTTTCAAAGCCTGAACTGGACAGCAGAAAGGTGATCCTCTATTGTTCCTAGTTAAGTCTCAATCCAATGTCCATAAGTCTCTTTGAAGTATTTACCATTTGTATTTTCCAAGATCACACCACAAAATAAAATAAAATCTGAGTGGGAAAATACATGACTCTGACAGGTTAACATTATATTTTAAAAGTAGTATGGTACAGTAGAAAGAGCTCAGGATTTGCATTTAAAGGACTTGCCATTGAATTCCTGAGTAATCTTAGACAAGTCATTTAACTTTTCTGGGCCTCAGTTTCTTCATCTGTAAAATAAGGCAGTTGAACAAAAAGATCTATAAAGTACCTTCCTATTATAATTATTTGATCCCATTGTGCTTATTTGGTTTTAGTCCATTTCAGAAGGGGGAAAACCCAACATAATTATTTGCAATTTAAACAGAAAAGAATCTGAATATATATTAAGGTTTATGGTGAAAATTCTTAAATCTTTTTTATTACCTATTAAGTGTCTAATCTTGTTATGAACACTGACATTTCAGAAATATCACTATGCCACGAGTTTCTGCTTTTTTTCTCCAATTCAGCACATTCAAATAGAAAGTCCTAACTCCTGTTTAATATTACATGCTAAATTTATTAAAAACTTTAACTATATCCAAGAACTTTGTAGAGAGGGAGAATGATGATTTAGAGGAAAATATGCATACTCCGGCACAGAACTATTTTAAAAAACCTTTTTTTAGTTAAGCTTTCTAATAAATTTGTTAGATTGTTATAAAATGTAAAACTGGACTCTACTCTTGGAAGGTACTGCTTTCTGCAAGAAGTGGTCTATTTCAATAATATACTGTTAACTGATTTCTCTAGATTCAACATAAGGCAATGGGCAACCACATTCAAAGCAAAGATTGGACTCAGAATGCTTCCAGTAATTTAGGGATTAAAGAGCATTGTCATGCTGATCTATACATCAAAACTATGAGAAATACTGCTTTTTCTCAACATAAATTTATATGGTCCAAGAAGAACTCAAACTGAAGCTATAAAACTGGATTAGCAAGTATTTACCAAACATTTCTTGGTGCTGAGCTCAACACTATTGTGGAAATGAAGAAAAGGTGAGAAAAATAAGTTAACAAAAAAATAAGAGATCCCAAGAAGCTCTCCAACTCCCACTAACACCCACAAGAATGTTGCTACCTGTATCCTCACATTCCTACTCCTGTAAAATAAAACAAGGCTGCATAAGAGCATTCTAGAAAATTTTTCCACATATCTTATGTTACACCCATCTTTAAGAAAGAGTCAAAGTCTTTTTCCTAACTATAATACCCACAAGTATAGTCAATGTCGAAATGTCAAAATACACACAGGTCACTAAAATTGCTTTTGTCTTAATGTATTTTTTGGAAAGTTTGGGTTTTTTTGGCTTAATAGAAGACTAAATAAAGTACTCTAGTTTTATAGTGCACTACACAGTAGTCTCTACATATTTTTAATGACTGATAATACTATTCAAGTGACATCTACCTCACATGTGATGAATATTTCTTCCTCACCAACAATGACTATTTGTAGACCAGATTTGCTCCCACAACATTGTCTCTCAATGAAGAGCAACAAGACTAAGATATGGCAAAAACTGCAGGGAAATGGAGTTACAATCTCAGAAGCTACAAGACTCAATTTTAAATTTCCTAAAATCTTTTAACCTAAAATGAAGACTCCTAAAATTTTCCTGTTTTAACAACATATTTAAGAGTTTAAAAAAATGTACAGCAGATCAACTATTTGCTACTTATGATTAAAAGGTTATACATATATATTACCATGGTAAGGTCAGAATTGGCGGCAGGAAGAGGGAACATAAGGATAAGTGGAAATATGTTTACCATGAAGAGGTGAGCCAGATGGGCTGCTTGACAGGCCTGGAACAGGGCTACAGCGGCCTCCTTGCTTAGATGTGAGCTCCTGCTCAATCTCTTCCAAGCCAGCACTCTTCTGGAAGCGGCTCATGCGGTTCACAACCCGGGGTGACATGTGTGTACGGACACAGGGCTGGCCACCATAAGGGTTGATGGGAAAAACATGAGAGGTCCCACGAAGTGTACTGACAACAACCCAGCGACAATCATGGCTAAAACAGATGTCCTGCACCTAGAAAAAGACAAGAGATGAGGAAAAAGTGGATGATATCACTATGTAGGTTGCCTCAGATGAAACTCAAAATCTCTCAGGACCAAAAAAAGTCAATTTAGTGACAAAATTTGACATTGCTAGCATAATGAATTTGAAATTAACTACGCAAAAGATCATCATAGAGATGATGATCAAGGATCTAATAATATTTAGACAATATCACTTTCTATGTTTCCTAATTCCATATAATATTTGGGATATCCTCTGCCAGAAAAAGTTAAATTTCATAAAAGAATTTCTAATCTAGATTCCTTTTACTAGATAATAAATCTAATTGTAAGTTCCAGGTGTATTTTCATTAATAGAATTTGTCTTTTTATAAGCAAAGATGAGCCAAAAATCAAAAGGTACTTTATTTAGCATAAGATAAGACAACTTGATTACTTCTAGTTTTCATTACTATGAAATATAAACAAGTAAAAAAGGTGAAAGGTTATAAAGTTTGGTTCAATATTTAAAAATTATTATAGATCTGAAGGTTTTTTCCACAATGCAAATTATTTATTTTTCATGACCTAAATATGGGAAATAATTTAATCAAATTAAGTGAGTGCTTAATATAATCTACCAATTATTTAAGGCATTTTAGCTGAAGGTTCTCTGAGAAGGGAAACTGAACAGCTGGACAGGGAAAGCTGGCCAAAACTTTAATGGCGACTACTTGGTAGCCTTGAATCTAAATGGCAGTTGTAGAGTTAATAATTAGAGAAGAAATATTAGTAAGTACTTTCTGCTTTTGTTTTGATAGCCTAAAGTTGACAACTGAACAATTATACTTTCATCTGAAAATCAAGCTATTTTTCTCATAAATCTCAAAACCAGAAATAGTGTTTTAAAAAGAGTGTCTGAATTTTTCCTGCATACCGACATAACACCTTGATGGAAAATAAAATCTGGGGTCTTAAGGAACATTTTCTAAAAAGAATATACTTTGAAACCATACTGTCAGACAGAATAAAAGGAAGCAAGATTAGGTAAAGATGATAGCTTCCGGGAAAAAATATACTAAAACTGTACTGATGGGAAAAAACAAACTCTTTAAGAGATAAAAGCAGAATTAAAGATGCATGTCTATAAATGGGCTCTAACATTGCATACAGATATATAGGAGGATTAGGATTTATTATGACATTAAACAACATAAGCTAAATAAAACTACTCAAGCTTTCAGAAAACTCCTAGTTACAATACACCAGATCCTCAAAGAGGCCTAAGCACTGATGAAAATCTTGACAAATATTCCAGAAATGCACTATCAACAAAAGCATCTAGCAGTCATCAAAGTAGGAGTTTCCCATAGGGCTTGAAGCCTAGGAGATAAAAAGGGATTTAAGTCTTGTGACTTGTGACAAGATACTTCCCTCTCAGACAGTCTCTAGACAAATGCCTCATCACTGGTACATGGATAAACCCCCAAGCCCAATGACACACCTGCCCCTTTTCAATTATGGTGACATATCAAAATGACTTGCTAGCAATATAGTTAAACAATCTTCTCAAAGCTGAAAGATTTAGCACTTTCAGAGTAGCTGGTATTACTGATATAAAGTCATTCCCCAAGTACTTAAACCCTCCAGTTTGCCTACAAAGAGTTTCTTCTTTACAGGCTGTTCAGAATGAATTAGAGCCTCAGTACAAAGAAACCCTGAGAGGGGCAGGATAGCAAGAGAAAGGGCAAGGAGGAAAGGATGAAGCCAGGGGAAAGAAAACTCTGAAAAGCAGAAACAAGAGAGGAAGACTATAGAACATTTCATACCACACAAGCAGATGCATTTTCCACATGTCAAAATCAGATTTAAAGTAGGATTCTCAATTGCAAAAGCCTTGCCATTAAAAGTAATCTAGGCTGTATCCATACTACCAACAGAACTGTACTACCTATACAACCATTTTTCTAGAAGAGTTACTGTCAAGAAGAGCCTCAGAGTCCACTGATGACAAGGAGTTTCCTTTTTTATTTTTAGAATCTCCCTGTTAAAGCAGAAAGCCTGGGGCAAGCTCTTTGCAGGTCTGTAGCAGGGCACCTAGAAACATAGTGTTAACATAATTGGTATCCGGCAAACTCCCATCTCACTCTGTTTACTTAGAAAACTGCCAACAGACAAGATTCTGTTCCAACACCTTTAAAGCCCATCAGTACTAATAAATGAGCAGACAGTTTGCTACCAACAAATGAGACTAGATGTCAAGAAAGAATACAGAGAGCTTATCATGGGGGCCAAGTAGGGTAGAATGGGGCAAAAGCAGTCTTACAAATAAGGATGAAGAGGAGAAGGAATGGATGATAATGATGAAGTTTCTAATAGTTACTCCTCTTTTGTGATCACAAGACAGTGGAAAGAAAGCAGAAAACAAAAAATTAAAATAAAAGTAACCAATAGAAGCAGCATCATACTTTTCCAAGTGCTCTATGAAAAAATTATTTAGTTTATTTTTTTTTAAAAGACACATTTGCTGGCCCATAGAATTCCTACTGCAATTTCTAAACGCTTCAAACATTCCTCCCAATAATGATGATGACCGAAAATAATGAGACCACCACGAGTAGACCCTCTCCCCTAACCTGACTTCCAAGAGAAATGAACGGAATAGGGCATTCCCCTTTCCTATCAGATCCAAATGCCAAATTTTCATTAGAATTAATTTTGAGTGCTAGAAAAGATCTTAGAAAAAGGTATATTGTCAACGTCACTAATTTCCAGATGACGCAACTTGAGGCCAAACAAGTTGTGACTGGCATTTGTTTACATGTGTAACCATTTCATTCATTCCTCTTCTAGATACAGTCTGGTCCCTCCAGGTCAACCTTAAATTTTGGTTCCACCAAATTGAACATAATACTTGTGTTGTGGCCTGACCTGTGAAAATTTGTTACAATGAGACCATTACTCCCTGTGATTTAGAAATAAAGATTTTCCATGGCATTCCATGGCATTCCAACTCGGGCATTTCAGCTAAACCCCTTTCCACTCTGCTTCCCACTTCAGAAAGAATGAAGCTCATCCTAACTGTGAAAAGACTCTACAAAGTACAGGCATACAGAAATGTCCTAAACCATATGTATCTTAAATTAAAAACAACCATCACATGTTATAGGGAAATATTCAAAGTTTTTCCAATAAATTCAGGAGTAAAACAAGGATGCCAATCATTCCTATAACTATTTTACACAGTTCAAGAAATACTAGCAACAGCAGCAGGACAAGGGAAAGAAATCAAAGACAGGTAAAAAGATGGCAAAACTATACTTATTTATTGATAACATGAGAAGTTACTTAGAAAATCCCAAAGAATCTCAAATAAAAAACAAATTGAGAAAATTAATAGCTTCAGCAATCTTGTGGGATACAAAATAAATCCACAAAAACTGTAGCATTTCAGAATATTAACAAATTCAAGAGATGATAATAGAAATAATCAAATTCAAAATAATTATAAAATGTATAAAATACTTGGAAGGTAATTTAACAGAGCATACTCAATACTTGCAAGGATTCAATCACAAAATGTTCCTTAAAGAAATAAGGAACTTGAATAGCTATAGGAATATACAGGGCACATGCCTCTACGGTAAAAATAACAATATTAACAAAATTAACCTACAATCTAAATGTTATGTACCAAGTAAACTACCACAAGGTTATTCTAGAAAACATTATAACATAATAACAAAATTCATTTGGAGGAACAAAAGACCTAAAATATGAAAGGAAATATTTATAAAAGGAGAAATTAAGAGGGAATAGCACTTTCTGAACTCAGAAAATATTACAAAACTGCAATTATCAAAATCATTTGGTATTGGTGAAAAACTGAAGTCTAGACAAGAGAGAATCAGAAACAATGGAACTCTAAAACCAAATGTTCCATAAACACAAAAAACACAGGTTACTTAGGAAAGAATTTCCTAGTAGGATAACTGGAAAACAGTGTATCAAAAATTAGGCCTACACCAACATCTTACAGCATAATAAATTCAAAATTTATGCACAAATTGAACATTAAAGAACAAACAATTTTTAAAAAGTTAGACAAGAAGTAGATCCTATGACTTTCACAGGTTTAGGAAGAAAGCAAATTCTTACCCAAGGGCTAGAGGTAACTACATGAAATAAAATTGATAATTATGATTACATGAAACTGAAAAGTTTTTTTTTCATAAAATTAATACCTCAGTGGGGGAGGGGGGAAGCAGTCAACTGAGAAAAAAATGCATCAAATTTTTCAGATAAGCCTTTCCCAGCATATAAGTGGCCAAAGGAAATGAAAAAACAGTTCTCCAAAGCAGAGTTCTCAAACTATTAACAACCATATGAAAAACTGCTATAAATCAGTACAATCAGAGAAATGCAAATCAAAATAATCCTAAGGTTTTACCTAATAACCAGCAAAATAGTAAAGGTGAAATATAGGAACACTGAATGCTCGGCAAAGCTGAGGGAAGACAGGCACACCAAGACATTGCTGTTGCAGGTATGAGTTAGGACAACATTTTTGGAAAGCAATTTATAATTATGTAAGTAGATAAAAACTGGCACTCAAAGTTTCCATAGATGCCCGAAGAAATGTACCTTAAGGAATTCACAGATAAAAGAAAGACTCTAAATATTCCAAAGTTTTTAGAGCAGCACTCTGGTAGCAAAGAATTGTAAACTAGATGTCCAATGATGAGAGAACAGCTAACCAAATTATGATACATGAATGCAATGGAATACTACTATGCTATAAATAAAGGATGGATATAATAAATACAGAGAAGTTTGGTTAGATTTATACAAATTAATGAAAATTTAAGCGGAGCCAAATAAACAATAAATACAGTAACCAAAACTATATAAATGGAAAGTACCTTACTCACCATCTCTCTGTAGCATAGTTTAAGAATAAATTATCCCAATATATGCCCAAATATCCAAATTATCCCAATAAATACACCCAAAGGCTATGTAACTGTGCAT